CCCCAAAACCCCAAAACCCCAAAACCCCAAAACCCCTAAAATTAATAATAATATTGAATATTTGGTCGAAAATGGACCCGCTTTTTAATATATTATTTGTTGGCCCAAATCTTTCTAATACTGTAAAGAAGGAGTGTGTTATCAAAATCGTTGCTGATAAACTAACACACTGTAAGCCCCTCTTTTCCTTCCCACCCTCTAACACCACATAGTAACTTCACATCAGGAATGAACAGATCCCTTCATTAAAGATATCTTCAAAATCCTACTTCTCAAGGATCTCTCCGTCCACAACTTCGAAATGTTCGCAGACGCCATCATATATGCATGCTACAGTGTTCTTTGAAGGAGTTTGGATGATTTAAGAAATGTAAGTAAATGGGAATTAGACGAGAAATGTAGGCTAGGACTTTTGTAGTTGCTAAAAAGGCTTAGTTTGAAGTTAGTTTAGGTGGTCAGAGATGGACAAATTTTTGGAAGGAAGGGGAGGAGAGGGAGAATTGGGGTATGGGGAAGATAAGGAGAATTGGTTGACATGATATCGTAGAATTAGATTTTATGCAAATCCAACTACAAATCATGGAAATTTGGGATATAAAATGGAGAAAATAAATACTTTTCTTTAATCACTCTTAGATATTCACATACCAAGAAAATTTGGAGGCAATACAGCTACTAAAACAAGGATAACTTCATACTATATTTTCTTCTATTTTTACTGAGTATTCCCTAATATATCTATTAAAGAAGATTAAATTTGAACAAATTTCCAGAATTCAAGATTTAGTCATGGATCTTGAAATCTTTCTAAAAAGAGATGATGGGAAAAATGATTCCGATGAGGAAATCCATGATGGAATTGAAGAGCATAAGAAGATTATGTATCAGGTAGTTCTGGTAAAGATTCTATTATCACGCTGATGAGTAGGCTTAGAAGAAGAGAGTGCAAAAGAAGCCATGAGAATAAGCATAATTAGCTCTTTTCGACCATTCATGAGTAAGATCCTCAACTTGGAAGAGACAAAAGAAAACTTACTCGAAGTAAAAATGGAGGATAAGAAAAGCATACCTAAGGAAGAAGATGTTCAGAAAACCTTCACTTTTGTCAAAACCCTACTAGATATTATCTTAGAAGACAACAGAATAGTCCCAACTAACTTTAATATTGACACCTACATTCCGATATGGATATTCTACTTTTCTTTTTTAAAGATCAAAAAGGGTAACAAATCCTCCTCAAAAACCCAAATAAAATGACAAAGCAATAACCCCCCAGACCACGTAAGCCATCCATAACCCTTAAAAACGCCATCTCCAATCTCCTAAACCCCCTTAAACCCTTCCTGCTCCCTCTCACCGCTCTAGCCTACCACTCTCAGTGAACAAATCCTCAAAAACCTCCTCTCCAGTAAGCCCCTCCCATAACCCCTCCTCTAGTGCTCAAGACCCGTTTTTCCCAAATCCTTGACCCCCAAATCCTAAAATCCTACCAAAAGATAACTAAATCAGTGCTGGATTCATTAATTCAGCAAAAATCCTTCCAAAACTCCGCTCATTACTACCACTTGATTGAGTGCTGTTACAATATAAACGACTATCTTTTCTTAGCTACAACAAGAGACTTATTCTCAGAAGGATTATCAAAGTATACTCATGATCATTATGAGTTTGTATTTAACCTCTTGGCAAAGAAATTTCCATTTACTAAAGCTACGTATTGAGTGCAGCATGCAATGTTCAAATTCATGTGTCAGAATAAGATGTTTAAAATTTTAAGTGAGAATGGAGATATGGTTATGAATTCTGTGCTAAGCAAGATTAGTAAAGACGATACACACTTAGAACTCGCAATAGATGTGATTGCATTCTTCACAATTGGGTTCAAATTCTGCTCAATTAAAATCCTAAAGAGAATGGAAGATTTCTTTTCTAAAAATATCCTGTGCAGAGTTCAAACAGATGAAGAAGGGAAGCAGCAGACTAATGCAATGTATATATTTGGCTTGTACGCTGATTACATTGTTCTACTGAAGGCAATCATGATTGTAAACTCAGGATATCCTGATATTTACATTCCTCTTACGGAGAAGATCGATCAAACCTTTGGAGCCTATATTGATCGAAAAGAAGAAAAATATCAAATTAATGGATTTATTGAGCTATATACACTCAAATTGGAGGATTTGGAGCAAGAAGATTTGGAAATTGATAACCAGATCGACCAGAAAGATGGCTCTGAGTCTGACAATGGGGATGTTGAAGAATCTAAGGTTTCAAAGAAATCTTATAAATTCAAAGGGCTTGTAAATATGGGCAATACTTGATACATTAATAGTTTCATTCAAGCCTTGTTCTTGACTGAATGCTTTAGAAAAGCAATAATTAATGATCTTTCTATTGGACAATCTTGGCTGATTGCTGACACTGATTCAGAGAGAATCATAGACAAATTATGAATATTATTTTGCCAATTAGCCCTCAGTGGGGGATCCTCAGTAAAACCAATGGATCTCAAATCTTCGTTACCAGAATCCTTCCAAAATGATCAGCAGCATGACTCATCAGAATTTGGTAAGGAAGTATTAAGCAAGATGGATGAAGAACTAAAAGCCCTTGCTAAAGAGTAATGATAATTTTCACGCACATAAGAGTTTGTTAGTCTATTGTTGAGAAATATATCACTTAATGAGCCTAATATTCTTATAGAGGCCAACTGAAGTATGAAGAGAAGGATAAAACAAGCTTATTTAGGAGCACTGCCTCCATAACTTCATTCTTTAACTTCTTCGTATATCAGACAGTAAAGTGTGAGGAATGTAACTCTTGATCTATAAAGAAGCACGAAGAGATAGATTTTTCGTTGTCTTTAGACTTGAAGGCCGATTTTTTTAATTTAGATGAAGAAGTTTCAGTACAGCACTTACTTCGTAACTACTTCCTAACAGAAGAATTAAAAATGAAATCAAATAATCAATATTTCTGAAAATCTTGTCATAAGTATGTTAATAATGCCAAATTGATGAAGAAGGTTAGCAAGGATCTTCCTCCAATCATCATGGTAACTCTTAACAGATTTGATTTCGATAATGAGAGGAAGGAAATGAAGAAGAGACTGGATCTTATCAAATTATCCCCCTCTATTACTGTAGTAAAGGAAGAGCTGGTTAATGAAGAAGAAATAAAGGAAGAAGAAAATAAAGCTAAAGATGTGACATATGATTTATATGTAAGAGTTTTTGATAGATTATAGGCAATTGTGATTCACTCAGGCCCAAGTGGAGTCGAAGGACATTATTACACTATTGCTCATGACAATGTCAACAGTTCAGGATCGACTGTGTGGAAAAGATTTGATGATGAGATGGTTTTTGAAGTTGATGCTGATTTCATCGAAACTATCAACGAAAAGCCCACATACAATACTCCTTATATCCTATTTTATAAAGAAAGAGAGCTAGGTGTCAGAACCAGAGATTTTTCAGAGCATTCCAAGAGCCTATTTGATATAAAGGTGAACAACAGGGTTCCTCCCCCTTTGGAGAAGTTCATCAAAAGTAACAAAAATTCAAACTCAAATAGAAGATGAATCAGACTTAATGAACAATCTAACTCTTATTTCTCAAGGTTTCATAAAAGACGTATCTTTAATAGAGATAGTGACCACGATAGTGAAGAAGAGGAAAAGGAAGAAAATTTTACTACTGAACAATTTCTCTTAAACCTCCCTAAGCCTAACCCCAAACCATATTCATCAAAATTTATATATGGAGTACTGGAAGATACTCGCCACCCAGAAACTGGGAAGTACTTAATTGAGGTTAAATCTCTGGAAGACCCAGAGATAGTTTTCTGTCCATATAATTAAAAGCGTCCATAGTAGACTTCCTTGGCCTCGAATGAGTACTCTACGAATCGAAGGCTTTGACATTCCCAAAGAATTTTTCATTAAAATTTGAAAATCCGGTCGCAAAGTCTCAAACGTCCATTTCCTCTATTGAGGACTAATATTCTCTCTCGGAGAGGCGCTTGATTTCACAATAGATGATTCTGAAGACAAACTCGACAGACTTTATATAGACCTGCCTTATTTGTCTTATTGGAAAAAGAGTGAAGAATACAGAAGAGGGTTTAAGGAAATATACTTAAAGAAACTCTTGAAGAAACAGGCAGAACGTTTTGATGACTTTTGCTCGAAGAAAGTAGTCTACATTTTCGACAGGGTTGATGAAATCAATATTCCCAAGATTAAAAAGTACATTAGCAGATGGTATGTACTCCCAATAGCTGAATTTTCCTTGAGAGACAGACAAAAAGTACCGAGAAACATTTACAAAATAGGCCTGCAAGTCCTGGATTATGAAGCCAGTATGAAGAAGACGGGGTTGGTTCAAAGGGAAAATAAATAGGAACTTTAATTTCTGGAAGAAGAGAAAAATGTTGGACAATATAACAGAGGATAATACTGCATACAAGAACAACTCAGTCAGATGCTATTCAGGTTCCGAAAGTTCAGAGAGTTCGCTTGACTCAGGCTATTATTAAACTTGTATATAATTCATATCTGCAATGAAGAGGTGGTTGCAAGAAAGCAGGATTTTTTCAACCTTTCTATTTCCTATCTGACCTGCTTCAACTAAACCATTTTTTTTCAAGGATTTTACTCAATTGAGCTTCTGCGTTGTTTTAAGTCGAGCAAAAAACTTTTCAAAGGTGCCTCACCCAATAATTCCTTTGACTTCAAAATCACTGATCATAACTTTTCTTCTTCCTAATGATAATATACTCGAACCCAATTTCTTTTATCGAAATCGTCATTAGGCTCTTCATCTGTATCTTCTAGGGAAGTATCCTCTTTCCTCGATTCGACAGCTTTCAGCAGAGTATCAAAAAAAGTGATGCTCATTGTAGATTCGATTGGAGTTTTAGATTTTCAATGCTAATGCTCAGGATTATACACTTCCTGGTTCAAAAGTCTTAGCTCTCTGGAAGGCAACCTGGAAATTTTATACTTTACATCTTTTCTGTGGTTGTGACTTCTTTCAAACCTCCTTTAACTTCATAATATCCTGGATGGCCATTCTGTACCTCTCTTGAAAAATTTTATCTTGAGAAGCTTAATGAATATTTCTCTATCACAAATATGGCACCTGTCTTCATACTCAGAAGGAACATGAAGTACAAGTTCTTTAGAATTATTGTGTTAAAATAATTATTGCTACTGTTTTCTCAATCGAAATCTTCCTCATCATGCTCTTTCTCTTAAAAATCTATTATTTTCTTAGTAGTTACAGAAGAGGAATCTGAGACCTCATAAGCAATCCGCAATATATTTTTTGCTTAATGCCCCACATGTTGATCTTAACGACATTATCAGAGAGCATGATTGATTCCTCATTGACATATATGAACATTTCAAAAATGCTTACTTCCCTTTATGTCTGGTAGATTATCAGTATAAGAATCGTCTACTATGCCAAACTACTATCACAACGCTTAACTTCAACACACCACTAAAGTTCTTTCCCAGTGAGTTATATCTAATCTATGCTACCACCAGAAGGCTACCTCCGCTTCCTATATGTTTCCATGAACGGCTTTTTAGGCTACCTAAAATCTGATTATTGTCTTGAGCAAGAGGACATTTTCCTCTTAAAACTCTTCTAAATTTTTAATTTATCTGTTGACTAGAATTCCCAATTTTATTTGGTTGTCTGGGGTTTTGGGGTTTTGGGGTTTTGGGGTTTTGGGG